CGCGCGTGTCGCGCGTGAGGGGGGGGGGGGAAGCACCCTGTAACACGTGGTTGTTACACTTACATCTATAATGTGCAGCATTTCATACAATGACACTACTAAATATAAACACCACTGTACACTTACTGTATATTGATACCTGTACTATTCGAAACCTAGTCTGTTTCCGCGGTTACAGCCCTATAGACCGAAGGTTCGATAGACCGAAGGCTCGATAGACCGAAGGTTTATTCGAATACGCAGTGGCTACACGTCCGGAATCGGTCGCCTAGCCTCCAGGCTACGCATCCGGACATCCACTGATGCCGTATTCGAACGTGAATATGCCGCACATCCACCGATGCCACTATAAATCATATGATGCCACTATAAACCATATATATGCCCTAACCCTAACCCTAACCCTTTGCAATATTCGGTCTATCGGACCTTCGGTCTATAGGGCTGCCCCCGTTTCAGCATATGATCGCATTAATAGGTTTAACAGCAACCTTTATTAATGTAAAATACCTCTGGTTTAATGGTTGATAGTTCGATTGTGAAGTAAATGCTAGCTGTAGCGCGAGGAATAGGGTGTTCCTTTGTTGGTCTGCTCCATTTTACAATGTAGATGTACCTGCAATAAACCCAACACATTTAGCTACTTTCGTACGGGAATTATATATTCAATGTTAACAAAATTCCTATTATAGGTATAAAGGCAAATTTTTCATGGTAAATTTAAGGAGTATAAAAATAATCGAGAAATATATTATGCATATCTGCCATATAAGCACAATGATAATGTCATCTGCCTTTTACTATAAGGGTGGATTTCCTCCCGTATGAAATCAATGCAGAAGAGCCAGCATTCTGAGTATTTCCATGTCTGCTAAAGAGAAATCGTGTCATTTTTATACCGTATACACTATTCGCTCAGAGCATGGAAAATTTAATACTGTCATTAAGCCTCTTCTTTATAGTCCAGTGTTCAGAAAACCGAAAAAAATAGAAAACATTGCTGAGAAATATCTGATTGCCACTGACATTTTGTTGTTAATGTTTATCACTGGGCTTATAATCTTTTCTTCAAACGTCCATTTTGAACGAGAAAACCACCTAAAGTTTAATATGCATTTGTTTACCCGAATGAACTCATCGATTTTTTGTAGTGCTTTCTCTGTGGTAAACTCTGCAATTGTAGGCCATTGAATGTTTTCCACAATGTAGTTTTCTTCTAGCTGAACGTTCTCCCAGTGGCGAAGAGAATTGAGAGCCATGTCCTGCAACTCCGACAGCTTCCTCTTCTGATTTGCATTCTCGACAAGCAGGATACTAATAGCCGTTTTCACAACCTGAAAAGACTATCTTTCATAACATTCTTAAATAGAACTCGATGTATTATCTTGCTGTTGACACGACATCTTTGGTAGAGCTAATTAAGGGTAAACATTAGGTTTAGCGTCGTAAATTCACTTGCAAATGCCACCGCCAGATGGCGCTACGCTGTCTATCGGAGCTTCTCCCCTTCCTCATTCTCTACCAGCTTCTCCCCCTCCTCCTTCTCCACCAGCTTCTCCCCTCCTCCTTCTCCCTTCTTCCCTTCCTCCTTCACCAGCTTCTCCCCCTCGTTCTCGCTTCCCCCCTCCTCCTTCTCCACCACCTTCTCCCTTCTCCCCTTCTCCACCAGCTTCTCCCCCTTCTCCTTCTCCACCAGCTTCTCCCCCTCCTCCTCCACCAGCTTCTCCCCCTCCTCCACCACCTTCTCCCTTCTCCCCTTCCTCCTCCACCAGCTTCTCCCTTCTTCTCCACTAGCTTCTCCCTTCTCCCCTTCCTCCTTCTCCACCAGCTTCTCCTCCTCCTCCTCCACCAGCTTCTCCCCTCCTCCTTCTCCACCCCCTTCTCCCTTCTCCCCTTCCTCCTTCTCCACCAGCTTCTCCCCCTCCTCCACCACCTTCTCCCTTCTCCCCTTCCTCCTCCAGCTCCCTTCTCCCCTCCTCCTTCTCCACCACCTTCCTTCTCCCCTTCCTCCTTCTCCATCAGCTTCTACCCCTCCTCCTTCTCCACCAGCTTCTCCCTTCTCCCCCTCCTCCCCTTCCTCCTTCTCCACCAGTTTCTCCCCCTCCTCCTTCTCCACCCGCTTCTCCCCTCCTCATTCTCCACCACTTTCTCCCTTCTCCCATTCCTCCTTCTCCACCAGCTTCTCCCCCTCCTCCTTCCCCACCTCCTTCTCCTCCCTCCCCTCCCTACACTGCTCCTTCGCTACCCTGTACATATCTAGTATTAGTAATAATAGTATTACTATTAGTATTAGTAGTAGTGCAGTAGAAATTAGTACTAGTACTAGTACTAGTTCAGTAGTTGCAATGCAACATTTTCAAAAATCTTGAGCCTGAGTTGGGCCTTGCCTTGCTCTTACGAACACTTAAAAAACGTCATTCATGGTTACTTGCCGTGTCTACCAGGGAGCGTGCTTCCCTAACATATGTATCCATAATGATCCGTGTGTCTTGAAACGTTACTATTACCTATATGTGTTGGAAATCATATCGACTACTAAATATATCGAACTGTGCCTACATCGCCATTTGTAAACAAATAAAAGTGAGTTCTATGATCCGTTAGAGGGCGCGATATGCGCTAATAAAATAAGCACTCGGCAGTTAGATGCGATATTGTATGACTACTAGGCACTTTAATTTAATTTAATTTTTTTTAAATAAAAAAAAGTTAGGGTTAGGGTTAGGTTAGGGTTAGGGTTTAGGTTAAGTTAGGGTTAGGGTAGGGTTTTTTTTTTTTAAGTGCCTAGTAGTCATATCCTAAGTGCCTAGTAGTCATACAATATCGCATCTAACTGCCGGGTGCATAAAATAACATTTGGCTGAAATTGCCACGAGCCAGGAAGCGTGCGCACATTATTAATTTAACATCCTACATAAAATCCTCATGTACAGCATTGCCAGTTTTGGTAGTAAATAAATTTCGTGTTTATTTACCATCATTTTATTATTGAAACGTTCCAACTTCCAAGTCAGTCAAGTCACGTGCCTGTGTGCATGTGAATCATTGAATGCTACTCTGACCAATGTGGCCCGTAGCGCTAATGGGTGTCACTTTCGCTGATAGGGTCTGTCGTAGTTTCGTACTACTGATACGCAATTATAAGGAACTCGTAGAGTATGTGACAAGTACGTTTACTTCACTGATCTCTATAATATATATTATAGAGATCAGTGGTTTACTCAGCAGAACGTACCACACGTGCATCACTCCCGGACCAGAGCTGCCATCTATCGTGACATAACATAACTATAACAAACTATGACAGGGTCTATGCCCTTCAGGGTACTGCCGGAACGTACCCGGCATGGGTACGGTCAGGGGCGCAAATCCAGGGGGGGCAGGGGGACATGTCCCCCCCACGAATTTTCAGAGGGGGGACATCATATCAAATGTCCCCCCCACGATTTTGGATCCCCATGATTTTGTGTGTAAGTGTGTGTGTGAGTGTGTGTGTGTGTGTGTGTGTGTGTGTGTGTGTGTGTGTGTGAGTGTGAGTGTGAGTGTGCGTGTGTGCGTGTCTCAACGCACGCAGACATATCACCAGACCCGAATTGTTCCTGCGGGCATTCAGGCGACCAACCATCTCTAAGTTAACATCGTGTCGCCGGGAAACAGCATCATCGACAAATGATGGTCCCAACTTGGGACTCCCAAGGAAATAACACCTTGACATCGATTATCAAATTAAGCACAGGTTTTATATGGATTGAATTTCGACACTTAATTTTTCGATTTTTCGATGAAAGTGGTCCAGCTTGTAAAGCTACATCACTCATTTTTGGGCGATCCCCCTATTATTTGCAAGAACCTTCTTCTTCTTTACCTTTTCTTGCAAATGATGGGGAGGGGGGGGACTGATCCCCCACCCCACCCATCATTTGCAAGACATTTGCAAGATGTTTCTTTTTCTTTTTCTTCTTCTTCTTTTCCTTTTTCTTTTTCTTTTCTTTTTTTTTCTTCTTCTTTTTTCCTTTTTCTTTCTAATGATAGAGGGGGCGACCGCCCCCCCTGCCCCCCCTGTAGCGCCGCCCCTGCCCTAACCATATATCAGCTAGATAGTTACCAGGGTACGTTCCGGTATACCGGACCGTACCCAGGGTACGTTCCGGCAGTAACCTGGGGGACATAGACCCTATGAGCGTGACTGCCCCTCGGGCGTAGAGAGAGGGTGCCGCTACGTGGCAGCACTAGTCACTTCGTACGCTTCAAAGTCTAAATCTTCCACAGAAAGATTCCACAGTCATACTTCCATGCTAGACATGGCATTATTTCCCTAACCCTAACCCTAACACTAGTGCTGCCATGTAGCGGCACCCTCCCTCTACGCCCGGGGGAAAGTGACACCGAGCGCTCACAGGATCTATATTCCCCAGGGTACGGTCCGGTATACCGGAACGTACCCTGGTAACTATCTGATATGGTTAGGGTTAGGGAGTAGGCGTAGGTGACTCCCTAGACTCGTTAGTGGAGCTAGTAGGCGAGGTACGGTCCGGCATATCAGATAGTACCAGGGTACGTTCCGGTATACCGGACCGTACCCAGGGTACGTTCCGTCAGTACCCTGGGGGACATAGACCCTCTCAGCGCCAGTAGCGTTTTGCAAATTTGTTGTCGTTTTCTCCACAGGCACTTGGAACATCTCAGTAAAAAAAATTAGTCCGTGGCTATACGCTACAGGTTCCGGACGAGGAGCCGCTAGGCTACGCGTCCGCACATCTATCTCACACAGTGATCTTGCGACACGTATACACGTATGATTGCGCAACGGGACGCTCTGCTGATTGCCGAGTGTGTGTGTGTGTCCGAGTGTGTGTGTGTGTGTGTGTGTGTGTGTGTGTGTGTGTGTGTG